ATTCAAAGGGAAAACACAAACTATTGTTTTGAGAATTATGGGTTTTGAGAATGATTGAATATTTTATTTTCTCTCTCTTTTTTTGTATTTGATCACTCGCTTTTTCCAAAAGTCAGCCCCTTAAACGTGTGATGGAACAACTTATTTATAGATGAGTTTGCTGTGGTTTTGGGGGGAAAACAAATTGGATTTAAACCTTTTTGGAATACTGTTCCATTTCTTTTTAAACATAACTTTTATATTCTAATTTGGTGCAAATATGGGGTTTGAGAAAAATGCAGGCGTGGATTGGATCAGCAGCACTTTGGAGTGTTGTGGCAGCTGGATGCATGACTGTGCCATAAAAGTGCAGCAGACAGTTCAAACGAGGTTTTGGGGCTTTGCGATGTTCTGATCAAAGAAGACTAGAATGAGGCTCGAAGGGTGATTTTCTGATTGAAGCGTAGAAAAGAGTCTCCATATGCTGAAGAGTCATATTCTGATGGAAGAACACAGTTTCCATATGTTTTGATCGAAGGGTCATGCTCTGAATTATTTTTGCAAATTCTGATTGCACTTACGTGAAATCTGGCCCAGAAGTTCTGAAATTGTCATATTTTCTCAATACTTAGAAAATTTTCCAAGTGTTTAGAAATTTGATTTTTTTCAAAGTAATTTCTGACTTTTGATTTCTTGATGAACCAATTTTATGTCTTGATGAAATATGATTATTGAAACTTGATTTTGATCAAAAAGTCAAAGTTTGACTTTTTCAGCGTGCTTTTGACCATTTTGCCCTTATGAATGACTTTCTTGGAAAATTATAATCCTAGACTTGAAACTTGACAGAAGAAAACCTGAGGGTCCAGGATGATCCTTGGAGAAATGGGAGGGAAAATTTTTGGGGTACAACAGTAACCTCACTTGTTGCCTTTGGATAAACATAATCATGTCCCTCGAACATAGGGATGCTTTAGAACTGCCCCTTGGTTAAAAAGATCGTAGTCCCTCAATGACCCTTCGATGTTGTCTCGGTAGACAATCTTAGTCCCTTACAATAAAACTACTAAAGCGCTCCTACGAGTTTCCTTTATGACTGTATGATGACCCACGTATGTCCCTTCACATCCAACGAGAGGGCTTCCTACTAACTAATGGTAGGGTATCACTATCTAAATGAGGAGGAAAATAACACGAAATACTTTTGAGTAGGTAAATTTCTCGTAATCGCTTGCTCACAAAAAAACAAAACAAACATCTTTTTCACAAACATTTTTCTGAAATATTTTCAAAAACAAACACTTTGTACGCATTCTTAACTGATACAAGAATCATTACAAAGTTGTCGTACTTAGGAATTTTCAAAATACTTTCAATCATACATGACACAAAGCATTTTTAAAAGTGAACTAGCGATTAGGAGCCCGTAGATAACTACAGATGAAAAGGGTGCTAACACCTTCACTTTTCATAACCTACCCTCTGAACTCAGAAAATTCTCAAAGGTCGTTCCTGTTCTTTTCACCCTTTCCTTATTGGATAAAAGAAAATTCGGTGGCGACTCTTGCTATCCGCAACATTTACAATAAAATGCAAAACCAAAAGCCAGTTCTCCCACCGTATTACAGTATGTCACTAAGTCAAAGTGAAAATAGTACACTTAGAGTCCAGTTGAAGGAATTGTATTTATGCTTCATAACATATGTGGATAATTTTGTGAAGATTTGTTGGACTGGTGAGTGAAGTTGTGTTGGTCACGTGTTTGTGCATACAAGAAAAGGAAGACAATGTCTGACTGGTGTTAGGACATTATTCAGGACATATTTCCTGTGTGACTAACAAAAGGATGTTATGTACCATTTGATCGAGCATGTGTCACAAGGGAGTATAGAAGTTGTGTTTGACTATGCATGTGCATGTCTTGGGACTTGTTATGTTCAAAAGAAATAACCCAAAGGTAATAAAAAGAGTCAAAGCAGTTTTGGACGGTGCACATTGATTTTGGCAACATTTTTCTCCTCAAATAACGTTTTCTTTGACCAAGAACTTTGTTTCATTCAAGGATTGTTTATTCCTAAGCAACTGCTCAACTATTTATAGAGGTTTCTCCTATCCTCTTTCACTGTGGGAGTGTTTGGTGTATTTATAAATTTTATGGGTTTTGTTCGGATCTGGGTAAGTTGTGCTTGGGTCTGGTTTTGTGAAGGCTTTATTTGCCAATGTTTGGCTAAAAAGGGGGAGAGAGCATGTGGTTCTCTAAAAGAGAGATAAAAAGTCATGAAGAAGTCCTATTGTTGATGTTGTGACATCATAACTAAAGACAGAGAAGACTCAAGACTGTCAAATATGTGAAGACTAAAGATTGAGCTTCTGATGTTTTTAGTTTATGATTGCTGCTGATTTGTATTGTTTAGCCTTTTTTATGATTGCATTTGTGTATGCGAGGTTTTTGTAAATTATTTTTAGCCAAAATAAGCCAAAGGGGGAGATTGTTAATTCTTTGTTTTATGGTTGGCATTATGTTTGGTAAAACTAATGTAGAAGCAGTATGTTAGATAGTATATGTTATCTTGCTAAGAATAAAAAGTAAAACAAGGAGTCCTATTTTATGTTAAGACATGTTGGGTTGAAGTATTTCAACATCTATAGCAACATGTCAGATAAGATATCTTATGTATGGTCATACGACATCGCGCTTGTGCTAAGTTGTGCAGTTGGTTTTTATATTCTTTTAAGTCACAAAAACAGGATATATTTTAAGGATATCATATTATGTGGCACTGTGTTATAGGTCTAGAAGGTTCAAGATCAAGAAGAATCAAGAAGAATGTTCACTTTCTAATTATTGAGACATATTACGAAGGTTGTGATTGAAGACCTATTTTGTAGTAGAAGTTTGTGTTGATTTGTAATAGCTAATAATGATGTGATTTGAAGCCCAAATCCAGTTGGGAGATAGGTTATAAATAGAAGCATTGTAACCTAAGAAAAGTACCAACCATGAATTATAATAATGTAGTTATTAGGTTTGAGTCTGTACCACTCTCTAGGAGAGTTGGTTGTGTGTTCCACTCAACATGTGAGTTGGACTGTGTTATAGAGTTGTAATTTCTACTATTGTTTTCCTTGAAGCTGTGAAGAAATAGTGAGTATTGTTCTTGGAGAAAGCTTTTAAGCAACTCCAAGTTGTGTTCTTAGTCAAGAGTCTTGGCTAGGTATTTTCATGGAAGTGTGTCTTTCAGTGTTATTGTCCAATCGTTGTTTGTGATTAATGAGGGATTGAAGAGAGCCTTATATCTAGATGAGTCTTATATAGAAAGTATAGCACAAATAGTGATTAAGTGAGAAGTTTTAAATGAGGGAATTTAGCTTCGAATTTATACTATTATAGTGGACTTTATCCTTGGCTTGGTAGCCCCCAGAGTAGGTGTTGTTGTCACCGAACTGGGTTAAAAATTTTGTGTGTTGCTTATGATTTTCAGTATTGTTTTTAACATGTTTATTCTTTTCATGTGTTTTTCAAGTCAAATTAGATGTCCCAACATGTCATATGACATCTGAAGTCTGATATACCAGAATTTCAATTAAGTGTTTGATAGAAATCAATACCAGAACCTGAGCTCTGATACCAATTAAAGGTGCGAGAAACACAAGAAATGGGGGGTGAATAGGGTTTCACCAAATACAATATTTTCGCAACTCAAACACAAATATAACAAGTGAAATAAAAATAGATAAACACAATTATTTTTATCCTGGTTCACTGTTAACTAAGTTACTCCAGTCCACCCCGCAAGGTGATTTGCCTTATACACAAGGACATAATCCACTATAATCAACCAGATTAGAGACAACTAAAATAAGTTCGATCAATCCTATTGGAACTCTCAATAAGCCCGTTGATCCTTATTGCAAACCACTATGACCGCAGCCAAATTCTTCTTGAGAATCGTGACTACACGGAATCTCTCAAGGAACTTATCAACAACAGTTAATTACAAGTATGTGTATACAAAGATGCTTCTACAGAAGCAGATTACACAATGTTTAAGTACAACAACACAAAAGTGTTGATAACAATATACTAACAAAAGCTGCTTGCTTATTTACAAAACTATACAAAGAATTTCTCTGCATAGTTTTTGCAGCATCTTGGTGTAATTTTGAAGAACTAATTCGTTGATTTCAAATTCTTCCAAGTACTTATTTTATAGTTAAAAAGAAGAGATATGTTGGAGGGTAGAATAGGAAATACAAATACAGTTGTATTGTTCCCAACGGTGATGGTGAGACTGGTAGACAATAGTACAAAAAGGTATGTCCTTGCGCAACTCTAGAGAGTAGGGTCACAAAGTACTTTTGTAATTTTATACTCACCATCACACGTAATCTCTTAGTCTTGATCTTCGTCTTCTATGTCTTCAAAGACTTATGTTTTTTTGTTGATGAAGCATGTTGTAGAAGAATTAAAACTATGTATCTTCAAAACCTAAGTCTTTACAGCCTTTCAAGTCTTGTTAAGAGAACCCTTGCCTTCAGAGTCTTCAGCACTTAGTCTTCAGAATAATGTCTTCAGATCTTCATAACTCTTTCAACAGAACCATGTCTTAAACATTTTTAGAACTTGGAACATCAGAATAAAGCTTTAGAAGGCCTCTAAAGCTTCCTTTCACAAGTCACGATCAGAAGCTCTTTTACTAATGTTCCTTAGAATCTTTGCATAAGACACATTCCTTAATCTTAACTTAACTTGAAACACACCAAAGGTATTCTTCCAGAGTGTTAAGTTCATAACATGATGACTTCAAACGCCTTATTACCAGAGTTAAAAAATGTAGAGCAAAAGCCACACACTAGATAGAAATTGTTAGAGTACATAATTATTCTCAAAGATAACATGTAAAGTTATCATCAAAGCATAAGGCTAGATGTAGAATCAATGTTGTTCTTACAGTCTTCATGCATCTATCATAAAATTTTCCTTATTCAGGGACCGTATCATTTCGTGCAACATCCTCGAGATGGACATTATTGGCCACAAATACACTTGGAAATGCCATATTCATCATGGGGGAGTCCATATTTATGAAATGATCGATAAAGCTTTGTGTAATGTTGAGTGGAGAATGCTCTTTCTTGATGCTCATGTCAAAACTTTGCTAAGGGTTGACTTTTCCGACCAGCACCCTCTCCTAATTTCATTGAAAGATCTCCCTTGGCAAAGGAGTCCTATAAATTTCAAGTTTGAATCCTCCTGGACCGTTGAAGAATATTTCGAAGCCATGCTTTCTAGTACGTGGAAGCAGCATAACAATCTCATTTCGAACCTTGATCATGTCAAGAGTGAAGCCAACAGATGGAACCTTAACACCTTGAAAATCATCACTCAGAAGAAGAATAAGCTCTTGGGCAGAATTTTGGGGATTCAAAAGATCATCCAAGAGGGTAGAAGCCATCCAGATTTAGAGAAAATGGAATCCAAGTTACAATAAGACATGTCCATGACTCTTCATCAAGAATAAATCATGTGGTTCCAAAGATCTAAATTGAATTTAATGTCTGATGGCGAAAGAAATACGCGCTTCTACCATCTTGCACCTATCCAGAGGAGAAGAAGAAAAAACATCAGTATGATTAAACAAATGAAGGGGTGTGTATTGATGACCAAGGCAAAATGCAACAATTTTTCAAATATTGGTACCACCAACTTTATACTATTGATGTTGATATTACTGATTGGAGGAATACCACTGATGAGTATGGCTCCCTGGAAGTCCCCATGCCTTGATGGATTCCCTGCCAGGTTTTATCAGCACTCTTAGAAGCCGGTTGGCTCAAGTGTTTACAACTTCATCCAAACCCACACACATGATATTAGAAGTTATGGAAGATGGCACCTCGAAAAGCATAAAGGCAGGAAGAATTGGACCTAAGATTTCTCATTTGATATTTGTGGATGTCCTTCTTCTCTTTGGTGAAGCCTCAGTTAAGAAAATGCAAACTATCAAAAGAATTTTGGATACCTTTTTATGGTATGTCGGGGCAAAGAATTAATTACGAGAAATCCAACATTCTTTTCTCTAAGAATACTAACACTAGTTACATAATCAAGTGCTCCAAGTAGTTGGCATGAAAGAGAACATGACCATATGTTTATACCTTGGAGTCCCCTTAACAGGGAAAAGCCCTAAATCCAAAGACTACTACCATGTTATTGATGAAGTAAAACAGGATATCCCTTTGGAGGGCCAAGCAATTATCTAAGGGTTTAAGGATAATGTTGGCTAAATCCATCCTTGGAGCTCTTCCAACCTTATCTATGAGGAACAACATGATCCCAAAAGCTTCCTTAAAGATATTTAGTAAATCCATAGGAATTTCATCTGGGGCGATGAGAATAACAAAAGGCATATTCACACAGTGAAGTGGAATTCCATTATGAAGCCAAAAGACGATGAAGGGCTCGACTTGAGAAATCTCATTGTGATGAACAAAGCCTGCTTAACCAATCTGAATTGGAACATTAGCAGAGGGGGAGAAGACCTTTGGTGCAAGGTTCTTAGAATAAAATACTAAAGAACTAATCTTCTTAATATTCTTATGAAGCCAAAATTTACAACTCAAGCCTTTGGAAAATATCATTAAGTTGCGACCCTTGATAGCTCAATGGGAGCTTTACACTACTAGAAATACTCTATTTTCCTGCCGTTTTAGGTCCCCAGCTAAAACTTTCGTGGGTAATGGTAAATCCGCATGTAAAACTGTAGGAATGAAAATCCACAGGAATCAAATTCCACAGGTAAATCCGCAGAAAATAAAATCCACTGGTACATCTGCGGCTAATCTATTTTTAAAAAAAATATATATTTTAAAAAATTCATGAAGATTGGTCACAAGAATTCATTAGAGAATAAATTATGTTAGCTGTAAAAAAGAGAAAAATTATAAAAGAAAAGAAGGATGGTAGAATCTAAATTACTAGCAGCCATTAAAACCCACTACCACTACCACTTTCATTCTCGTCATCGTCATTTAAATTTAAAAAAACTCAAATCTTCAAAGACAATCTTGCACACCATTTTTAATTTAAATCAACTACAATAGACATCCAATAAAATCCAGAAGCATAGAAGTAAATAAATAAAGAGAACAAAAAACTTTTTTTCATCTCTCTTAGCCAACTTCTCATTCACTATATTTTGACAGTTCTTTTGTCCTCTGCTAATTCGTGGTTTGTTGCTGAAGCTAACTCCGGCTATCCACCAATCCATGGTCGTGATCACCGCAGGTTCACCTCATAATAATTGCAGTCTTACAAGATACCAACAATGTGAAAGATAGATTATCGATGTAAAATATAAGGGAAAGCTAAGTGTTAGTAAAATTGTGATGGTACAAATATGAGTTTTGTAAAAGTAAGAGACACAAGCATGAACTATAACAAAAGCTGTTTTGTAACCCAAAAGTGTAGGGAACAACCAATCCACACGCTAATACAACAAAACATCTATAACACACACAAAAACATTACAGCAACTAATCACACAAATTATAAATTAAACTAACCGAAAAGGTGAAGTTGCTAAACTAAATGTGAATGGTGATAGCCTTACCTTGGTGATACATAGAAAGGAAGAAGAAGAAGACTAAACCAGATGAAAAGTGTAACAGAAAAAAGTTATGCTATTGCAGTATAACTTCTTCATTAATTGAGAATATATATATATATATATATATATATATATATATATATATATATATATATATATATATATATATATATATATATATATATATATATATATATATATATATATATATATATATATATAAAGAAATTATCCTATCTATATACAGGGATATTAACAGCCCCCCTCAAGTTGGACTTTGGATATTGCAAAGTCCTAACTTGACCAATGTGTTCTTTAATGCTGGTGAATGCAGGGGTTTTGTCAACATGTCAGCCAGTTGATCATGGGTGGATATAGGTAGAATATGGATGAGCTTGGACTGAATTTTCTCGCGAACTACATGACAGTCAAGCTCGATGTGCTTACTCCTCTCGTGAAAGGTTGGATTATGGGCTAAGTAAATAGTTGATCTACTGTCACAGAAAATAGATGAAGGTTGGGAGAAAGCAACATGCAGGTCACGAAAGAGGTAATGTAACCACGGAATCTCACAAGTAACGGAGGCTAGAGCCCGGTATTCTGCTTCAGTTGAGGACCTATACACAGTGTGTTGCTTTTTGGATTTCCAGCATAGGAGAGAGGAGCCAAGCATGACACAATAGCCAATTATAGATTTTTGAGTATCCGGACATCTAGCCTAGTCTGCATCGGCAAATCCTACAAGCTTCAAGGCACTGAATGCAGAAAACAATAGACCTGTAGCAGGGACAAATTTAAGATATCTCAGGACACGATTGGCAGCCTGCAAGTGAGGTATTCTGGGTTGAGACATGTATTGGCTTAAATGTTGAACAACATAAGAGATATCAGGTCTTGAGTTGGTCAGATAAATCAAACGACCAATCATCCTCCTATAAACAGTAGGATCTTCTAACAAAGGTCCTTCATGAATGGAGAGTTTGAGGTTAGGACCAAATAGAACAGAGGACGGTTTAGCAGCAAGGACACCAACATCCTAAAGCAGTTCCAATGTATACTTTCATTGATTCAAAAAAATTCCTTATGCAGATCGAGCAATCTCAAGGCCAAGAAAGAATCTCAGTTGTCCCAAGTCTTTAATCTTGAATTGTTGATCCAAAGCCTCTTTGACATGATTAATCTCTATAAGGGAATTTCCTGCTAGCACTATATCATCAACATAAACTAATAATGCAGTGAAATTCTAAGAAGAAGATTTAACATATAGTGAGTAATCAGCTAAATACTGATGATAACCTAGAGAAATAAGGAAAGCAGATAATTTGGAGTACCACTGTCTGCTAGCCTGTTTTAAACTATATAGTGATTTATGTAACTTGCAAACTTTGGATGGGGGAACGCCATTAAAGCCAGGTGGAAGGCTCATGTAAACCTCCTCATGTAAATCTCCATGGAGGAAAGCATTGTTAACGTCTAATTATTCCAATACCATCCTTTAACAGCTGCAAGTGAAAGTAATACTCTGATAGTGGTAAGTTTTGAAACAGGAGAAAAAGTATCAAAATAATCCACTCTTTCCATCTGAGTAAAGCCCTTTGCTACCAGCCTGACCTTATACCTTTCAATAGATCCATCAGCCCTGTGTTTTACTTTGTAAACCCACTATTGTACCCCAAAATTTGCCCTCTCATTTATCAAGATTTTTCCTCACAAGACTTCTTGGACTCAAGACAGGATTAGGGTTTGCTCAGCTCAAGACATCATCTTGCATTGATAACCCAAAATTAGGGTTTGAGTTTGCACAAGGATTTTTGGACCATCAATGCTTCATGTGACTTTCATACACCATCTTGGACCCCTAAGATTGCTCATGTTAAGTTTCAAGCCTTGAATCACATTTTTGCTCAGTCAATTGACAGTTGACCTAAAAATCAGCTGTATTGGGGAAAAAGTCAACCATGGCTAATTTACAGTCAAACTTCATAATTTTTTATCCACAACAACATTTTAGACTCATATGAACCATTTGATTAAGTTTGGATCACAACTCCTCAAGAAATTTGATCAAATCATCAAAAGGGCAAAATGGTCAAAATTAGGGTTTTGACTGAGAAAGGGCAATTTCTGATTTTTAACCTAGCCAATGACCAATTGGGTTCAAGCATGGTTTCAAGGATTCAATGGCATCATCTTGACCTAATTACATGGATCAAAAGATCTCAAGTTCATTGGATTGACAGATGAATTTTCCAGTCAACTGATCAAAAGTCAATTGTACATTGAAAAGTTCAACTTTGACTCTTTTGGTCAAAATCAAGTGTCAAGGGTCATAATTCATCAAGATATGTCAAAATATGAAACTTGTTGATCAAGAAAACCAAAATTGCAAATTAGGGTTTTAATTTGAAAAAAAATTTCATAACTTAGAATTTTTCTAAGTATGGAAAATTTCTTATTTTTTCCTAACTTTTCACCACTTTTTCACCATGATGCAATTTGATTCAAATAAAACTTCCAACATGAAAGTTGTAGTCCTCCATGAAATCTACAACTTTTCTTCACAAAGTTTTCCAAAAAGATGCCTGAATCTCAAGATATAAATTTGTGAATAGGGGTCCATGAACTAAAAGACTTAGTGAAAATTTGCCCTAATTTAGGCAGGTTTTTGACCCAACTTCATGGGCATTTTTCACCTAGTTCTAAGAGGTATCTCAAAATTAATTTCAAATATGGATTGTATATCATGTTACAAGCTTTCCAAAATGTCCAAGAACTCTCCAAGATCATTTGTGGTTAGGGAGAATCGAAGAAGAGAAGTTGGCATTTTGTCACTTTTGTTCAAGCCATTTTCACAATGCATCAAGTTACAAATCTGATCAAGC